CCTGTTTGAGCAGTTTGTCCTGAGTTGGCACTCTCAGTTGGGTTCCGCCAGAACCGCATTGTCACAGTGTCCCTGGGGGATGGTAACTCCTCCCAACTTCATAACCCCCAAGACACTGGGTCTGGGGGATCAAACATTAAGGGACCAGGGCAATGGGTTATGGTGAAGAAACTGGGGATTGAATGGGTGAGGCTGGGAAGCAGGGGGAGCTGGGTGCTGGGGCTATCAAGTGTTTGGGGATCATGGGATAAGAGGCGAGGGGGAGCACCGGGGTAGAGAAGTGCTGCCTCTCCTCACTCAGCCCCTCTCCCCCTTCTCCCAGCCCCCTCTCGCATTCAGACACCACCACTGAGAGGGGCTGATTCCCACAGGGCCTTTTGTGGGAGGCCTGGAGAACCCATCTCTGCCAATGTAGCATCAGCCTCGAGGTTCTCTCTGTGGTAGGAAATGTGGTCGGGATGAGCTAGCCCATCTCTATATCCCTCCACCAGGTTTCCTGGTGTAAACTCTATGATGCTGGCAGACCAGGTGCCAGCTCATGCAAAGCCCTAGTCCAATTCACTTGTGTATTAGGATAGGATTGATCAAAGAGATCGTTAAATGTATGTGTTTAAACTTCATGACAACTAACAGGATGTTACTTGCATTGTTATAATATATAATTCCATTGTGTATACCCCTATAACTAAATAACCCATCAAACAAGGAAGAAGAAGGCTGGCAAGACAGACTGGAGAGTCTAAGGGGACTGTCTGTGAGTCTAGGGTAAGACTGGGATAGTGACCCAGGAGTTCACATTTATCACTGGCTTGGTGAAATCTAGTTACAGAACGAAACACCAGCTGGTTTTCTGCCAGTCTGCCCAGAGGTCGGCACTCATAGCTGTGAACCACTCCAGAGAGCGCGACAAACCAACCTGGAGCATCTTATCTATTCTGATCCCCTCCATTAGCAGAGTGATCGTTAGTCCCTGATTTCCCCTTTGGGGCCAGATTGTCTCATTCCCAGATAGTCTCGCATTACTCCAGGCCATGCTGAAAAGCATTTGGTGTTTGTACATTTTCTCGCTTATGGGCCAGAAATAAGCACATGCTAACAAAGTGGGAGCAGGGACAGTAAAATGTGGTGTTTTATCTTCTGTGCTATTTCAGGGCGATGGGGTGAGTCCAAGGGATTCCCTCCTTCCCCCAGCACCCTGATGCTCCACTCTCGACACAGCAGCCTCTGTCCCAGCATTGGAGAGTTTTATCATGTCCCTGCTTTACCCCTCCACCTCCCACGGCATAGGCGCTGGCATAGGACCACCCACGGAAAAAAATTGGTGGGTGCTCAGCACACACTGGCAGCTCCCCGCCCCCCCACTCCAGCTTGCCTCCGCCTCCTCTGCGAGCATGCCGCCGCATCCTACTTCTCCCCCCTCCCTCCCAGCATTTGCACTGCGAATGGGTGGGGAATTTGCACCGGGGTGGGGAGGAGGGGGGAACGCGGTGCGCTTGGGGAAGAGATGGAGTTGGGGCAGGGACTTGGGAGAAGGGATTGGAATGGGTGCGGGGCCAGGGGCGGGGAAAGGATGGGGGTGGGGTCAGGGATGGGGGTGGGGGCGCGAGCCCCCACCGGCACCGGAGAAAGTTAATGCATTTGCCCATTACTTTGGGGTAAGCTCATTTATTCGGGTTACTCTTCTGGGGAAGGGGATTCTGTAATCGTATCAATGTACTGCTTGTGTCACTTCTTTCTTCTGCAAGTCCCCTCCCAATGGAGCTATCCTGCAGGACCTAGGTTCTCTAGGGCTGGGTTACTCCAGCCCCAGAACCGGATGAACACCCACCCACCCACAGATACATTAACAGAACAAGTCTGAGCGGACCGGGTCAATCAGCACTGTCAAGCTGACCCCTTATGTGTCTCTGGACTCACTGGGCTGGAGGAAGCAGCACTTTCAAGCTGTCTCTCCTTATATGCCCCTGGGGTCCATGGACTGGGTCAAGCAGCACTTTCAAGCTGTTACCCTTATGCATCCCAGATTCAGCACGTCCCTATCCCCACTTCCCCAACACAATTGTACTGGCAGTAACCTACGTGTTGAGCAAACCCCACAGTATTTTGGGTGCTGCAGGGATCTTTAGCTTAGGTAAAAGAAGCGTTGCTGTAGAGTGAATGGGGGCAGCTAAAACCACAAATGAGTAAAGTTCAGCAAGAGAGAGAGAAGCAACAAAGTTAACCATAGAACTTATTTATTGAATAATAGTGATAACTACACAAGGAGAGCTAAACCAACATAACATACATGATTAAAGGTTAATACCTAAGGTAGAAAGGAAAACAGAGAGAGAGAAGGAGGGGGCATCTCACCCACTCCATGAGGCTTGAACTGGTCGGGGTTCCCAGGTGATGGTGGTAGCGGAGGGTCCTGAATGCTGGAGACAGGCAGAGCCCCCAGCACGATCAGTCAGGAGAAGATGGAGTTCCAGTGGAACTGATGCCTAGTTTGGATCTAAGCATCAGAACCCTGACTGGAGGGTGAGTAGGGATTTTTGTAGGGAAAATACAGTGGTTCAAGGGAGAACAATAGATTTGTTTATAAAAACAACAAGGAGTCTGGTGGCACCTTAAAGACTAACAGATTTGTTTATAGGTAAGCTGATGACTCAAGGGTTTTCTTTAGACTAGACAATAGGAACTGATCACTCCTGGCTATGGGGGGTGTTTTCTTCCAGGGAGCTCACAATGCAACTAGGCTGCTTCAGTATTTGGATATCAATTAAGGATTCATTACTAGAATTGGTCTGATAACTGCTGAGCTGGGTGTGTGCAGACAGGTTCATTAGCATCTGGAGCAGAGATTCCCAGGATGCAGTGCTTCCCTGCTTTTTCTGATCCCAGAGTTCATTGCGGTTCTCTGTTCTCCATTCTGTATGTAAATTGCGATGTCTTCCTGTCCCATCTTTCATGCAGATGAGGCTAGGGGAGTTGTCTCTGCTCTCTATTCTGTATGCTAATGGAGATGTCGTAATCTTGTCACCCTTGTCAGGAGGGGTCTAGGTGTGTCTCCCAATGCCCTTCACTGCTCTCTGCAAGTTTGTTCCTCTGATGGGTTTTGGTTTAAGCAGAGGCTGGGGGCGTCTTTCATGAGTCAGGTTGGATACTGCACCCTGGTTCCCCAAGAACACAGAGGTGTCTGGTATTAAGGCAGGGCTGGGGCAGGGAAAGGTGGAGTCAGGGTGGGGACGGGGGGCGTGAGCACCCACCAGCACCAGAGAAAGTTAACGCCTATGTCCCACGGTGTCACTTACCACCGTGTCCCTGGCTTTCCATGCCTAAGAATCACAGTTTTGATGTCTATGATCCTAAGTCAGACCCTTGAGGGCTGGAGAAGGAAGTGTCACAAACCAGGAAGGGAATCCAAATGAATCTGAAGGTACATTTTGACCTTTCTGATCTTATAGCCCTCTTTACATCTATTGGTAAAATTGCTTCCAGTTTTTGTCTAGGCTAGTCCAGATCATTTGTAGATGGGAAGCTGGTTTGTTTTGGTTTATTATGATGACGCTAAAACTTTTGTAAGTAACACGACCAAATCATGAGGCGAGAAGTAAAGCAGGATTAGCCCCTTTGGAAGAAAATGAGTGCACTTATTTTCTGGATTTTGAGTCTTCAGATTCTCTGGGATTTCACGTTATGAATATGAACATGTTTTATAGCCCAGCCTGTGTGGTGGGTTTTTCTCTGTTCCCAAAGGCCATTTGGTCATATAATTTGATATTAGATTAGTTTTATAGCTCAGATTTATTGACGGCTTCATGAAACAAATGTCCATTTGCCAGAACAGTCCTTTTCAATTTAATTTTAACCTTTTTCTACTCCTTGTGAATTGATTTGTTTCTTTGAACAGTGACAGTCGTCAATATCCATCAGCACAAACACTGAGGGTGCGAGCTAGATTCACACTCCCAGGGCCAGACACTGAAATGGGGAAGGAAGTTACAGCCTGAACCCTGCAGTGATGTGAGACACGGTCAGGAGTGGGAGATGGGTGGGGAACAGAGCTGGGAAACGTCTGGGTTTGCGCCTCAGAGCCAGGCAACTGAGGTTGAGACCTGTGAACTTGCTGCACCAGAGCCAGAAAGAGACAGGAATTATCCTGCGAGTATTGGGTCGAGTGTTGAGTATGAAAAAACCCCTACATAAATAAATTACGATTTGGGCATGGATATGTGCATATTTATTTGTTATTCCTAAAGTTAATTAAGTATTTTAGACCAAATTGTCAGAGTGGCCACCAGCAGGAGTTGGGGGCCATGCTGTGAGGCCACCAAAACATTTGTTGTGAGAACCCCTGCACTAGAGAGCTTACAGTGGCGCGGCTGCATCAGTAGCCATGGCCTAAGAGTGCTATCTAATATCTTGATTTCTTTTTGGCCTAGCAAAATGAGGCCCTGCACTTAACTCGGTGGCACTGGTCTGTTTTGACGGCTGCATCTGATCAATTCCAACATTTCAGGGAATTTTTCTAGGCGGCCATCAGGGGAAGGTGGATGATTTTGGTGAAAATCGGAAAATGATGAGGGGGAAATAGGGGACAATCCTGAGTGGGCAGAGCTCCAGTCCCTGACCCAGAGCAATGGGGAGCTTTTCTGCTGACATCCAGGTGCCCGATGGGGAGCTGAGGTCAGTGCCCACGCGGGGGAGCCAGCTGGGACATGGGCAGAGGGGATCCCAGGGAGGGGGAAGACATGGGATTTAAATAGAGCCCAGGGGTGGGTTCATCTGGACCTACAGGCAACCAGAGGAACCCAGTGGCAAACCTCTGATAGCTCCATGACCCGAGCGAGGGAAGCAGAGCTGGGAGCTCCGGCCCAGGGCTGGTAGCCAGTGAGTGTGGTGTGGAGAGAAGAGACCAGCTCTGCCCAACTGCTCCCTGGGCCAGCCTGTTACCAGAGCGAATCACACACAGAGTGTCCCGGCTCCTGTCACCCCTGGAGTCTCTGCAACAACCCGAGTCTCCCTAGAAACCCCCCTCTCCCCCCTCCCCGGGGTCTGCACGTCTCCCTTCTGTCCCCCCATTGATCCTCTGGCTTCTATGCAGGAGGTCTACATAGGACTGGGAGAAGCTGCCCGAGCCCAGGGGAGGTGGGGCCCGCAGGGGGCAGGGGGTTGCAGCGCGATGGGTTTATCGCTAAGACCCAGGAGCAGCTGGGTGGGAGGATCGTTGGGGGTCAGTCCCCGGCAGCAGGAAGTGACTCGCAGCCGCCGCGGTGATTCTGGCTCCCAGGGGGGCCCCGCTCGGAGGGAAGGTGAGAGAGACCCGCCCCCCCCCCGTCACCCCCGGGCTGCAGGGGGAGGTTTGGCCCCAGGCTGCTCCCAGCGGAGCTGGCTGCGATTCCCGCCCTGGGCCCGGGAAAGCTGCCGCCAGCTCCCGGTGTGTGCGGGGCGGGGGGAGCCAGCCCGGGCATTGCTGGGGCTGGGACAGCGACACGTGGGGGCAGCCGGGAGGGGGCTGCAGGGCGGGGAGGGTAAATAAGGGGGATCGAGGGTCGAACAGGGATGTGTGAGGGGGCAGGAGGCAGGTTAAAGGGGATCCAGGAGCAGGAAGGGGGCAGTGGGTGCACTGAAGGGAGGATGGGGCCATGCAGGGGAATGGGGGGGGGGATTATGGGGCTGAGGGGAACGAGTCTGGAATAGAGGGAAGATGTGTGGGGGGGGGATCAGTGCGAGGGAAAGGGTGTGTGGGGAGGGGAGGCTGGAGGGAGAATGTGAGAGCAAGAGGAGACCGGCTGGGTGGAGAAGGGAGAGACACAAGGCAGCTCCCCCGCCCCATGGGGTAGGAGAGGGGAAGGGGCTGCCCCTCCCAGCAGCCATCTGGGAATTTTTTTCCTGAACTGGTCAAACAAGTATTGGGGGGTGGCTGGGCAGGGATCTAACCCCTCACCGCTCAGAAGTCTGGGTGACCAGATGTCCTGATTTTATAGGGACAGTCCCGATTTTTGGGTCTTTTTCTTGTATAGGCGCCTATTACCCCCCACCCCCTGTCCCGATTTTTTACATTTGCTATCTGGTCACCCTACCTACCTGCACTTCCTGCAGCGCTTGTCCCGGTTCCCGTGGCGGACGGCTCCATTGAGAGGGACGCAATTCAGTCGGGCGCGGTGTACGAACTGCCAGTCGGTGAATCCGGTGAAGTTGCCCGCGGGGAGAAAGTGGTTGCTGGAGTCCCACTTGCTGGTCACCTCAAAGGCCTTACCCTGGTCCGGCTTTTTCTTACTACAAAGCAAATATCCACAGGCAACCCCCCCACTCCCAATGTATTATTTGGTTGGTTTGTTTTTCATGACAGACTCATGATTTGGGGGCTCTGAATCTTGAGTGTTCGGAGCTGCCCAGGGCCCTGGTCTGATTTTCATGCAGGATTCAGATCTTAGCCACATCGGTGTCAGACCGGAGTCACTGCGACCCAGCAGCAGGAGGGAGGGGAGGGGGAAGGGCTGAGATCCAGCAAGCTAACCGCTCCTGGGAGCAGGAGAGGCGGGGCCGGGCCTTGGGGAAGGGGGGGGGAATGGTGCCGTGGGGGCCCAGGAGCCATCAACTGTTTGGTGGGGCGGGGAATCATTGCAGAGCCACCAATCAAGGACGTTTTTCCGGCTCTGAGTTGCTGATCAGTGTGGCCAGTGTCGTGGGCAGTGCCATTTCGGTGATTTTTGGCCATCAGCCAATCAGCGAGGGGAACTCTGCTCCTGGAGCAGGGGCTGAGCGACCCCACAGGTGCAGCCCCACCTCCTTCTCCTGGGCAGCAGGCTGCTTTCTGTGGTGCTAGTGCAGGGTGAGTGTATTTCAAAGGGGGTCTTGGGGTGAGGGTGGCTGGCAGGGGATTGAAACCCCTTCCCAGGGGGCTGTACTGAGAGCTGGCACCTGGCTGCTGGCGGGGTGGCCGTCTGCATGGTGGGGGGCACCAGCTGCCACCCAGCTCTCTGCATTTGGCAGGGGGCTTAGCCGGAGGCATCTCCAAAAACATCCCCTGCACCCCCGCAGCACAGAGAGACTGAGAGTACCAGCCCCTGCTGGGCAGCTGGACCAGGATGGGCATGGTGGACGAGGGGGGGGGCATCTCCAGGTCTCCCCTGCTTGCCCTCCCTGCCCAGGCAGGGACGCCTGCCTCTCAGAGACAGTGGCCATGTCCATGTAGTCAAGTATCAGAGGGGTAGCCGTGTTAGTCTGAAACTGTAAAAAGCAACAGAGGGTCCTGTGGCACCTTTAAGACTAACAGAAGTATTGGGAGCATAAGCTTTCGTGGGTAAGTAACCTGTCCCAGGATACTTGCATCTGAAGAAATGAGGTTCTTACCCACGAAAGCTTATGCTCCCAATACTTCTGTTAGTCTCAAAGGTGCCACTGGACCCTCTGTTGCTTTTTACATGTCCATGTAGTGCGCTTGGTCCCCCTCCCTGGCATCTGGGTGACTGCCTCTTAGGGAGGTGGAAGGGAAGAGGCAGTGGGGAATTGGGATGGGATGGGGTGGGGGGGTAGGAAAGGGAAACTGAGGCCATCGGGGAAACTGTCCTAGCAGTGCAATCTGTGCCTTGGGGTGTGGATGGAATTGTCTCCCAAGGGAAGGGCTAGTGATCATGTTGCAGGGGGAGGGGGGGGAGGCATTGTTGAGTCCCGGGGGTTGAGTAATTCTCTGGTGATGGGCATTGAATTGCTAATTGTCATTCACTTGCCGCACAGTGGCTGGTGATGGTTGTTTAACATCCACCCAGCCATTTGGTCAAGTGCCTTCTTGTTTCTGGGGAGTTGCCTTCTGGGCTACTCCCAGATTTGCAGCATATTTCATTCCCACCATACAGCACAATCTCATCACTTTCTACACTTTAATAATATACATATTTTGAGAGAACACTGGGTTTCAGCAAATGGTAACCTGTCCCAGGCGACGTTACATGGCAGGCTTTATATGCAATATAAAGAATATATACAAATGATGAAGATGGGGCTTGCAGTGCACAGCACGCTGCTCCCCCGAGGTATAGAGCAGTCGCTCTCAAACTTTTGTACTGGTGGCCCCTTTCACACATCAAGCCTCTGAGTGTGACCCCCCCCCCCTTATAAATTAAAAACACATATATATATTTAACACCATTATAAATGCTGGAGGCATTTGGGGTGGAGGTTGACAGCTTGTGACCGCCCAAGTAATAACCTCGTGACCCCCTGAGGGGTCGTGACCCCCAGTCTGACGACCCCTGGTATAGAGTGTCACAGCTGGAAACTCCAAGGCTTGGGACTTTTAAAAGGAGACTAGACAAAACATACAGTAAGATCAGCCCTGCATTGGCAGGGAGATGGACTGAGCCAGGACGATCACAGAGGGCTTTTCCCCCTGTAACTTCTATAATTCCATCCCACTCCCCTGGGAGTACAAATTCTGGCACTAAAGACCCGGTGGCTGGATCCCATATTGCCTTGCACTGGGATTGGGAATTAGTGCCCTGACGTGCAACTCCTCCTCTTGGGCCAGTGTCGATCCTGCTGTTATTTGCAGGTGCCCTTGTGTTTAGCTGAACCCTTAGACTCAGTCCCTGAGTGTATGCCCCACTAAACTGAGAACTAAACTGACACGACTGTCCTGCTGCGTGGATCCCAGCCGGCGTGTCCTGTGAATTTTTGGCGTGCACGTGTGGCTGTATTTATCTCATTGTGCTGGTGGTGCTACTTCCATGGTGTGATGATGACCTTATGCTAAGATGAATCCTGAAAATAGTGTCCTGGTGGGATGGTGGTCACTCTGGGCTGTTCATGTGAATCTTGCATTTTTGTATGCTGTGTTGGTGTAGCCCTGTTGTCCCAGGAAATTAGAGCGACAAAAGGTGAGTGAGGTCATAGCTTTTATTGGAGCAACTTTTGTTGGTGAGAGAGAGAGAGAGACACGCTTTGAAGCTGTCACAGTTTCTTCTTCCTGAAGAAGAGTTCAGTGAAAGTTCCAAAGCGTGTCTCTCTCAGCAACGGAAGCTGGTCCAATAACAGATATTACCTCACCCACCTTTTTTCGCTGTGTATAAATATGCTGAAAATAGCCTCCCCCCAAACTGGCAGAGGTGCTCGGAGGAGGGGGCGGAGAGGAGCGAGCAGTGGGTGGGGGGGAGGAGTAGAGTGGGGGTGGGGCCTAGGGAGGGCACCCACCAGCAAAACCAAAAGTCAGCACCTATGCCTCCAG